CACCTGCTCCTTTGACCCTTTGACTGTTCTGATGACTAGTCACCGTCTCCGCTGAGTGGCTCAACTCTTGACTTGCCAACTGACCAAAGGGTCAAACGCCAAACGGTCGTTACCGCAGGGTGCTCACGTTTTACCATCCCATGTCCGTCCGGCCCGGCATCCAAATTCCTAATCGGTTTGCCTATGTGCCCCATCTCGCTACGCGCACCCCACGGGGAAACCACGCGGCCCGAAAAGCCGGGAGCAGAAGAGAAAGCGCTTCCTCTCGGCCGGTCGGCCACTTCTCACTTTCGTGGCGCCGGTGCCCTCTCCGTCTCCTCCTCTCCTCCTTCTTTAACAAGGCACCACCTCCCCAGACGAACGAACAAAAAGAGTCCTCGCACCTCGCTCCTTCGGCTCACTCCCGTGCTTCTGCTTCCCCACCCAGTCTCCTCTCCCTTCCAAGCCACCGCCTGCGACTCCGATGCCGCCGCCGCCGCTCCTCGAGGCGCGCGACTACTTCGGCACCGGCGCCACCTCGTCGTCCTGCTCCTCCGGCGGCGAGGGGACGGGGCCGCACCTCGCGCTGCGGCTCGGGCTCCCGGGGTCCGACTCCCCCGGCCGCGGCGCGGAGGCGGAGGCGGAGCACGCCCACGTGGACGCCGCGCTCACCCTCGGCCCCGCCCCCGCGCCTCCCAAGGGCGGCGCCAAGCGCGGGTTCACCGACTCGCTCGACCGGTCCGCGAAGCGGGACGGCGCTGCTGCGGATGATGACGCTGCTGGGGGCGTCACGGGGGAGCTGAAGAGGGTAGCTGCAGCTGCTGCCGGAGCTCCGCCAGCTGCCAAGTAAGTGGGTGCTGCGGTTAAATGGTTTCGGTTCGTCATATAATTTTTGCTTTTGCTGTCGGAGGATGTATGCGATTGATAGCTCCTTGGGTCTGTAATAACAGGATTAATGATGCTTGGTTGCGGGTGGGAATTACTAGAAGTAAAGCAATTGGAACCTAAGCACAGAAACACAAGACGAGGAGCAATTTTGCTGCTGTTTTTTAGGAGTAATTGCTTAGAGAAAAAGTGTACTCCCGCTTTTATAGCAAGCATATAACATGATATCTTACTCTTATTTAACGCTGGGTTGCCTGCACACCATGAGGACCAGCATACCTGTGTAAACGGTGTGGTTCCACGTTCTAACCGAGTCCACAAGTTATAGCCACTTTCCATGGGATTGTCATAGAGGCCATAAAGAAGTTGTTTGAGATAGAAGCAGCCAGATTCTGTATCATGTAGGCTCTAGATGCATCTAGGGTACAATGGAATATGTGGAGTATCCGGAGGTCTAGACATATTAATGTACTCAAGTGAGGCTTGTGATTTTGTTGAGCAACCTTTTTCATGATGTTTTTAGTGACATGGACTTAAATCTTTGGGAGTTTATGTTCTAGGGCACAAGTTGTTGGATGGCCACCAGTTAGGAGCTACCGAAAGAATACACTAGCTGCGAGTGCCACAAAGACAAAGGGGGAAGATGAAGGTAGGAGTGAGGCGGGATGCTGTTATGTTAAGGTCAGCATGGATGGAGCCCCATACCTAAGGAAGGTGGACCTCAAGACCTATTCAAGCTATGAGGATCTCTCGCTTGGTCTGGAGAAAATGTTCAGCTGCTTCATCACTGGTAAGTTTTTTGTTACTTTTTTCTGCCACAATTACCATTTTACTTGTTCCCCATCTTGTTATTTACTCCTGTTATTATGATGTAATGAGTTACTGTGTCACCAGTACATGTACAATTAGGTATAATGTTTTCTGCATAAAGTCTTGAGGAGTCAATTGACAGTTGTTAAAGTATGATGCATAGTCTAATATATAATCAGTTACACTAGCTGAACAATGGCCTCTGCACTATTTTAACTTTCAATCTCGTTCAACAATTTATTTGTTTACAGAACTAGGTAGAATGTCCTTTCAAAAGAAAAAAAGAGAAGTGTCAGTCGCAAAATAGAAAGAAAAAAAAAGAAAAAAGAGAAGTGTCATTGCTTGATAGCAAACTAAGGTTCTCAAAAACCTCTTCCCTGCATATATATCAGAGAGAGAGAGGGAGGGAAGGTGGGAGAGACTAGTAGTTTGAACCAGTGAACTAGCTGAAAATTAGTGCCCATTCTATTTTGACTAGTCAATGGTCAGCATGTGCATCATCCAATAAAAGTATTGACCAGGATTATTTGGAATGTCCTCTTTAAAAGAAGGATATAAATCGAAGTTGCAAATTATGTCCTAATCCTAAAGGTCTTATCCTCCTACTCTGCATAGCAAACTAATGGAAAACGACAGTGAACATTATTGTCAATACCTTTAAAGAGGGGAGCAAAAAGAAATGATGTATGTTTACCTGCGTTTCATAATTCTCTGGATCTGTTACTCTGAACTTTAAGAAGTATTGACCATTGTGTCCGTAAAGTATATTTGTGTACTTAAAACATTTCTAGCTCCTCTTTTCGCTGGAATATTTTTATCCGTACTTTAGGACTAAGGGCTTCCTTTGTTCTGTAAATATAGATGTTTTTCAAATAAATACACATGTTTAAACTAGTGATATTGCAGGCCAAAGCAGTTCATGCAAGACATCAAGAAGGGAGAGGCTTACTGATGGTTCTAGGGCTGATGCCCTTCAGGACCAAGAATATGTCCTGACCTACGAAGATAAAGATGCTGACTGGATGCTCGTTGGCGATCTGCCCTGGGAGTGAGTTCCTATTTAATGTGGTTTGCAATATTTATCCAAATGATTGTGTTCCTTTTCTGTTTATTTGCAAATGATAGGGCTCTTTTTCTTGAAACCAATGGAAATTGATATGATTTTGGTGGAGCAGTCTAGACTAGGTGCAATTTATTAGAAAACACTTGCGTTTAAGATGTGGCAACTGAAAAATTAGGAAATGGTTCCAGTGAACACTCTGTAATTTGATAAAATGTTTAGATCCACTCGTGTGCGAAATTCGCTATTCTATTGTATTTTACCAACTTCTTTGGAATGTTCAGTTTTGCACTTCTGTTGGATCAGAGGATTCAGATTAGCCAATGCGTGGATTTCTATGAATATCTCATTTCACCTTTGTAACAGAAAAAGTTTGCCCCATACTCCCTCAGTCCCTCCATTGCAAATAGTTCACTTTGGCTTTGTCCTAACTCAAATTTCTTGAACTGCCAAGGTTTTAGAAAAATATATTAACATTTACAATCTCATATAAATGTTTTATCAAAATATATTCATGGAGAATTTAATGAAACTAATTTGATGTTCTAGATGTTTTAGGATTTTTTTGTTTTCCTTAAACACTTGTCTGTGATCCCTGACATGATTATTCGCATTTTTGTTTCTTTTTTTATTGCGTAACCAGCTATTGATGTATAAGACATTTACTAGTTATTTCCAATGTCTTTTTTGCAGCTTGTTCACCACAATTTGTCGGAAGCTTAGAATCATGAGAGGCTCTGACGCTGCTGGCATGGGTATGTGCACGCACTAGCATGTCCATCTTTGACTGTTGAAGACTTTGTTCGATATTAAATACCCCCTCCGTTCCAAATTATAACATTCCAACTTTCTTAGAGAGTCAAATCATCTCAAGTTTGATCAAAATTATAGAGAGAATTACAAAGATTTATGACATCAAATAGGTAATGCTGTGAAGATATAATTAATGAAGAATGAAGAATCTAATGACACTTAGTTGGTATCGTAAATGTTATTATTTTCTTATATAAATTTGGTCAAACTTGAAATGCTTTGACTCTCCAAGAAAGTTGGAATGACTTATAATTCGGGACGGAGGGAGTATTATGTTGTGATTTTATTTTTTTGGGTTGCTTTTAATATTAGCTCCCGATCACTATTATCTGTCCTTGTGGTGGTTTATAATCAACTAAACTATGCATTTGAATATGTTCTTGTCCTGGAAACACAAAAATAGCTGTAATAATAATGTTAGGGCAGATTGCAACAAAAATGTGAATGCCCATGGGGAAAATGTGGTCGTGCTGAAACTAGTAATCTTTGGGCACATTTGGTATTCTGCCAGAAACATTTCTGATCCAGATTTCTCCTTGGAAATGTTTCTCTGGTGAATTAGAATCGTTTTGTGGAACTATTTAGCTAGTTGGCTGGATTCTTTGAAACTAGAACTACAATCACGGGAAACAACATTTTAGCTGTTTCAGTCCCTTAGGCAAAAAAAACTGGAATCGTTTCAGGCCGTTTCAAGGCTGAATGGTCTTATCGCCTGCTCATTTGGCAACAACTCTGGTGTTGCTGGCCGGAATCAGAACCTTCTGATGTGCTAAACGGGACCATTAACCTTGAGATACTGCCAAGTCATAGTAAATGCTTATTTCGTGACTCATAAAAAATACTTATTTCGTGGCTGATATATTTGGTTGAACACATTGTTTATTTAAATATAGCTGTGGTCTGACTCAGTGTGAACTATGCACTATGCTTCCACTACTGTTACTGTAGCTGTTTGCTTATGACTTGGCTGCAATTGAACATAGCCCTTATATTGCTTTTATGACCAACTATAACTGTTTGCTGGAGCCAAGTAACTTGAAACTTCTTGGAAAAGAAAATTGCATCTTGGACTATCACTCTCTGTTAATGGAGTATATGACATTAGAGCATCTCCAAGAGTACCCAAAAGGGTCTCCCAATCTAGGATTTTTAGGAAGATTGGAAAAAACTCATCTCCAACAATTCCTAATACCACCTCCTAATCTTTTAGCACTTGGAAAAACAGACCCCTCTGCGCCTAAAGATACGCGCAATTCCTCCTCCGCGTATCTGCCTCGCGTGAGTTTCCTGGCGATTTTCTCCTTCGCGCCATAGACGAGGCCGGCGATCCTGTTCGAGACGATGCCGGCGAGGGAGCCGCGTTCCTTGACGGCCGCGAGGATCAGGTTGAGCGTGGTGCCATACTGCAGGCCGCTCCTCTGTTCCTGGCCGAGATGGCTTTGTCGCGGCGGGGATGGCGCGTCTCCCTGGGCCTGGTGGGTGCGCCGGCCGCCCGGCCGTCGTCATCTTCGTCGGCGCGTTCTTCCTCACCGACACCCCCAGAAGCCTCGTCATCAGGGGCCGGGCGGCGCTGCTCCGGGTGCGCGGGCCCGACGCCGAGCCTAGGGACATAGCCAAGGCCGTCGAGGCCGCGATCGAGTACCGCCCGCACCTGGTCCTCTCCTTGCCATGGCCGTGCCCATGTTCTTCCAGCTCATCGGCGTCATCGTGCTCGCGTTCTTTGCGCCGCTGGTGTTCTAGATCGTCGGATTCGGGAGCAACGCCGCTTTGGTGGGCGCCGTCATACTCGGTGCGGTGAACCTGGGCTCCCTCGTGCTCTCCACCCTCGTCATCGACCGCTACGGACGGAAGGTGCTCTTTATGGTTGGCGGCATACAGATGGTCACAGTACATGATGCATGCTTTACCGTGGATGACCGGAGGGACCAACGTATTCTTTCCTGTGAATTATTGGGTACTCTTGGAGATGAACTTATTTATTCCTCCTAAATTTTTTTTGGGAGTTATAAAACATCATGTTTTAGGAGGGAAATTATTGGGTACTTTTGGAGATGCTCTTAGTGAACATTTTTTGACCGAATAATGCTCTTAGTGAACATTGGCTGCCCTTTGGTTTAACTGCACTTTATGGTTCACACATGCATCAGCTTCTTTACGATTTGTTGCTCTGTACTCAAGTACTTTACGATTTGTTGCTCTGTACTCAAGTATCCAATCTTCCTGCAGCTCCAAGATCACTGGAACAGATAGTTCGGAACAAATAAGTTATCTTGCCCGACAGGCAGAGTCGTGAAAGGACCGAGTTTACAAGGCGCTCTAGGGAGCGATGTTTTATGTGAAGTGCTTCGGTTAAGTCTTTTTTTTCCACATGTGCAGTGAGATGTGTGGCCTACTGTAAGACGCCCATTTTGCCCGCGAGGCTGTCACGTATTATTTATTGTAGATGGTCGCTTTTATCTGTGAAAGATCAAACCCGGTAGCCTACTGCTTCCTCTATGATACTTTCATCTGTATTCGGAAGTTTGTACTTCATATCCTAGAAGTAAAAAAAATGCCCATGTTGTCCAATAAGAATTCTTCCCATGCTGTGTCTGCAAGTCAAGCTAATTATTCAGTGGAACAAGAATGAATCTAATCACTGGGTCTGTTAATCAGCTCTGGTATCTTATCTGATAATGGGTATTAGATCTCTGCCGATCAATGGGATGATGTAACATTTACGTTAAATGCTCTGAAACGGGATATTCCATGGCTAACGAAGGGCAAGCTGAAGTTATGCTCACCACTGAGTAATATGAGCATGTCTATTACACGATACAGAGCTGATTAACAGACTGAGTGATTAGATCTTTGATGTTCTTCTGAGAGCCATATGTCAGATGTGTGCCATGTTCTCTTCCGGATCCTGGTGTGAAAGCCAGATGCAAGTTTAGACCGAGTCCCTTGGAATTTCCAAAGAGAATGGTTTATTTCCCCCATCAAAGATGCAAGATTAGACTAGATCCCTCTGAACTTGCAAAGAGGATGGTTTATTGCCCCCATCAATTTCCGGTAATCTTGACTAGAAGTAGGGGGAAATAGTAGATCGCACTGATCTTTGATGTTCTTCTGAAAGCCTAGGGTCAGATATGAAAACCAGATGTCAGATTAGACTGGGTCCCTTTGAATCGGGTAATTCCCAAAGAAACTGCTCCCTCCTTTGAAGAAGAAAAAATGTTGTTATGTGGTTTAAAATTTGTCTCAGAAAAAATGATGTCGTGAGTTTTAGATATGGTGTTGGCCCATAGAAGAATCTGTCGACTCATGCATGCCCAACAGATCCAGCCCCAAATTACCAATTGACATGCGCTACTGTTTGTTGCCTCCCGCGGATCTCTGCATGCTTACATGCCGCGCATCTTAATTAGGAAGGAGGATCTCTGCATGCTTGTATGCCGCGTATCTTAATTAGGAAGTAAATCAGGCGACATCTCTTCTTTTAAGAAAATCATGTGTAACAAACTAAGGGTATTAGAGATATTTTTTTTCTCCACTAATATATCTGAAAAATCTCTGAAGATCACTCTTTTTGGGACGAAGGGAGTAGTTTATTTTCCCCATCAATCAAAGCCCACCTATCCGAACAAGTTTTCTCTCTTTTTATAACACATCCTATCCAAACAAGTTGGAGTTGGATTGCTTACTCTACTTTATTACGACCCCGTTGCCCATCCTCTAGAGTCGACAGCTTTGGTAGTAGTTGGTACGAGAGAAAAAAAACGACTGAATCATTGAAAAGGAAATACTGAAGCGAGACCTTGCTTCAGAGTTCAGAGTCGAGAAAAGCATTGGACGACAAGGGGATGTGCCCGGCCTGGCGCCTGGCGAGATCTGGTCGGCCTCCCCGGAGCGACTGCGCGTTACCAACCATCGCAACAACTCCAGATCACCACTGTATCACACGACCCCAGTTTGCTGCCGCCGCTGGCCGCTGCCGCTGCCATTTCCCAACACGTCTCTGCGCTGCGCACCTCGTGGGTCCTCAAGGATCCGAAGCTAGCGAAGCTGCTGGTTACTTGCGTTGCGTAGCAGCCATAGGAACAGTGCCGCGCTGCCCACACAACTGCAGCTCAGCTCGACTGTGAAGAAAGCTCCCTAGCACAAAACTGGCATCCTGACCTCCGTCCGTCCCCGGCCTTGTGCTGTTCTCACCAGCAGCTTCTGCCCGGCATTAACATCGTCACGCACAATTGCACGCCTCACGCTGTCACGCGGCCTGTGCGTGGGTACGTACTGTACGTCACACAGTAACTCTGATCCGGCCGGGCGAGCCGTGCTCCGTCCTGCCGCCTCATTTAACCGGGCCTCCGTGCCGAGCGCCCTCTCGATCGTCTCACCGTGTCCCGTGCCCGTCTCTCGCCGGTCCGGTGGAGCTGGCCTCCATGATTGTTCGTTCAGGACGGACGGGACCGACCCTGGGGGTGGTGGTGACCGGATCACCAGGCGTCCAGGCCCAAGGGGACCAGACGGCACGGCAGCACCAGCACTGACTGAGGACCACTGCGACCTCGACGACGACGACACATGGCTCGGGGGCCTCGGGCTCGGGTCGCGGCCTCGACCAGACCCAGCGTTCGCGCCGAGCCGCCTCTTTCAAGCCGCGGAAAGGAAGACACGAATGAGAACCGGTCGAGACGCGACGGCGACGGCGACGCCGACGCCACCGTGGGGCTTTCACCGTCTCAGGAACCAGGACCGGTGGTTGGCTGACCGAGATCGGGAGCATGGGCGCGCGAGCCACGTACTGAACACCCCCAGGTAGCATAGCATAGCATATCACACGCCATGAACGCCGTCTCGTCACTCACGTGCCGTGCTAGCGCCTGCGCCTGCGCTCGATCGCGGACGCCGCGGCAACAGGGCGCGACCGGAGCACATGCGCGGGGACGTGTCGATGCGCGCGTGCGTTCTGGTTCTGCTGCGGCGCACGAGAGCGGGGCCAGCTAGCGGCGCCTCCGCGCGCGCGATGCCGATATGGCATCGGTTCGGTGCGCGATCGACCGCGACGGAACACGGGCAGGTGCGCGCCATGACTCGCAGCGCCGCGGCCACGGACAGCCCCAGTGGCCGGGCACCCGCCGGTCACATGGCCGTGGGGCCCCGCCTTGTGCCTACGGCCGCGGCCGCCGTCCCCGTCCGCGCCCGCTGCGTGCCGGTGGCGGGCCCAGCGACCGGGATTTACTTGGAGTATATGGTATCGGCGAAGCGAAACCGGCCTGATCCGGCCGTTTGAACGCGTTTGGAGGATATATATAACGTTACGTGACAGCAGAATAGACTTGCAGTTATGGATGTCGCGCGCGCGTACATGCGCGATGCCGGGGCGTGCCCTTAAATGAACACTCAGGCATGTATACTGTGACACAAGTGGGAGCGACCCTTTTTACACGAACACATGAACTATGCCATCGCCATGCATCTAGGCATGGTCCCCGTGTGCGCTCGGTGTCTTGCTCCATGTATCTTGTCTCCATTGGTTCCCGTTGGAGCAAGGGCAACTGCTTATATACAGTTATAAGGGGCTTGTTTGGATTCTTCTTGGCTAGGCTAGCCTGGCACTAGGGGCTTGTTTGGATCAGCACTTGAGGAAGACGTCTGGGCCAGGCATCTCTCCCAGGCCATCGATTTTCGACGCCTAGGGCTGGATCGACGTGCCTGGGCGGGGCTCTCCAGGCCATGCCACGATCCAATCAGCCCCTAGCAACATTTTGCCTATCGCTCTCTTCTTCCCTAGCATTTCGTCTTCTTCAATTCCCCTCCAATCTCTATCAAACCGAATAAGCCTAAACCTAGTTTCGCCAATGAGCATAGTGGTCATGGCGGCTGACGGTGCTCTGCTGCCACCATCGCCCTACCCACATGCCGCCAACCACCGGTAGGCCACCTTTCTGCTGAGTAATCATGGTATGAATCGAGAGAGCAGCCCAGGAGCCTAAAACCCTGCGTGTGCGTAGGGCTGGACAAAATACTCGCGGCTCGTCAACTCGCTCGACTCATGTCCGGCTCGGCTCGGCTTGTTTTAACTTTTTCACGAGCTGAGCTGAAAGTCTAGCTCGCTGTTTTAACGAGCCAGCTCTCGAGCTGCTCACGAGCTCAAACGAGCTGAGGCCTATGTCGATGGGGAACCCTACAGGCCCCCCATAGACCATACTGCAGGGAGGTAGGCCTTGGTAACAAGGCCTACAGCCCAATCGCCAAGAAAAACGCAGAGCAAAGCAACGTGCAAAACCGAAACTCCAACGTAAACTATACAAGGAAAGGCGCCCGAAGCGTAGCTTAGGACTCTGACCTTGTATCCGAATAGGACGCAAACAACGCTTCTCAGCGCCTGGACTATAAAGGGCTGGTGAGGGTACCCATTGTAAGAGGAAAAAGCATACCCGATACTCAAAGCAATACAACGCAAACAGGCTAACGCCAAAACTGGACATAAGGTTATTACTCGACCAAGTCGAGGGCCTGAACCAGTATAAATCGTGAGTCTCTTTGCGTAACCGCCAAATTCCGCTATTCGCCGAAGCCCGAACAACTGTCCCGGGTACTCCCGTGGCAGACTATCGGTGGTAAAACATCGACAGCTGGCGCGCCAGGTAGGGGCTTTCGACGAATTTTTTCTCGAGAGTTCGGCGGACCTCAACCTCAAGATGACCTTTTCGGTGGGAACAACCTTTGTCTTCGGATCCTGGATCTGCAAGGCTGACGACGATGGCAAGCTTCGTACCCGTCTCCGAGAAGAAAAAGAATTCGATGACGAAGTTCAATACAAACTCGCTGAGAAGATGACGAAACTCTCAACTTCGGATACAACTCGGGAATAAGGAAGAAAGCGGATACGAAACCGACTCTGAAAAAGAGATACAACCCGATTCCAAGACAATCTTCACGGCACAAGAGCCAAGCCTAATTGGACTCGGAGACACAACAACGATCGCGAAGGAATACGACCCGTACAACTCAAAGAAGAACTTGGGAACTTACGGACTGCGCAACGCGGCATCAGTCTATCAATACTTTACCCAAAACAAGATGAACTCAGCAAGAAGAATACTCCTGGAGGGAGCACAAGAAGGGATGATCATGACAGTGACCCCGCAAGATTGTGTGGTGCATTGGCCAGGTTCTTTCACCTCAAGCAAAGTCCAGACTGGCATGCGCGTTGAAGAACTACCTTATCAAGAGGGAAAAGAACTCGGATCCAGTTCAGAAGCTATAGACAGCTCAACCAAACGAAGGATGGAATACCGTACAAGAAGAGCTCGAAAGAGGTATACTGTATACATGGCAGAGCAATTAGAACAACCTTTGGAACCACCACAGATACCAGATATAAAATCTTCAGACGAATCAGAAGGCAACATCTCGCTAGATGAGAAAAGCGACAGCAACGAAAATGATGAGCAAAGACTAGCAAGGCTAAAGAAGCACAAATTGAAAGCTGGAAGGAGGAACCGAGCTAAACAAAGGAAGCAAGTCTGGAATAAATACAAAGCGGAGCTAACGGAATACAACAGAAAGAAGGCGGAAAAAAAAGCCACAAAAAATACAAAAAGGGAAAGAATTGAAGAATTAACAAATGAGTTGTACACCCTCACGAATAACGGGAAAGCAAAGGAAGACCAGAAGAAAGAAGTCGGGGGATCAGAAAAACAACCCGGCGAAGAAGTTCCACAGGAGCCACAAAAGGAGCAGCCACCCCAAAAATCAAATTTTCAAAGGATAGGACCAGTAGAAAGTGCTGATATCAATGGAAGGAAGGAACACTACTCAAAGCAACAAGAAAGAGACAAACCA